CTTTCTTTTACCAGTTCTAATTTCAATTTTAATTTTCAGATCTAAGCTTCCGTAGGACATGTGGTAAGTTCGTGGAACCTGTTTTTAACTCGCATTTTTACTTAAGTTCCAAATTTTTGCACTTAGCTTTCAAAATCACACACTCCTTAGACAACTGCTTCTTTTCATTGTTTAGATCCTCAGATTCATCAATGAAATCCAAGGAGTATACTCAGATAGCCTTTCTTTAGACAAAAATTTAATCTTGTCTTTTGAGATGAATTATACTTACCTCAGATTCCTCATCGGATTCTCCAATTGGCTAAGATGCTGTTCATCGCTCCATCTTCATCCTCTGAGTCCTCATCTGAACTTTTTCCCTCCGAATGGCAGGCAAACCATCATTAGCCTTTGTTGTATCCTTTTGTTCTTCTTGGGTTTGAACATTCGTTCTTCTTTCTTGTTCCTTCGTTCAGCTCTTTCCTTCTTCCATTCAATTTCCCATTGAGGGCAGTTTTTGATGTGGTGATCAGTCTTCCCACACTTGTAACACCCTTCATTGGTTTGTTTTTCAGGAACCCTTGGTTTGCTGTAGCTTCCACTTCTTGAAGGACCCTTTCCTCTCATCAGGTACTTTTTGAAATCTCTCGTGATCATTGCCATTTCATCATCCTCCAAATCTGAACCTTCAGCAATTCTGAGAGCCAAACTTCTTTCCTTCTTGGGTGTATCCATCTTCATGGTTTGCCTTCTCAGTTCATAGGCAGTAAGATTTCCAATTAGTTCATCCAGCTTGAGTGTAGCAATATTCTTAGATTCCTGAATAGCAGTGATTTTGCTTTCCCATGAGACTGGAAAAACTCTTGTCAAGATTTTCTCAACCTTGTCTTCTTCAAGAATAATCCTTCCAAGAGACTTAAGTTCATTTGTCAGTGTAGTGAACCTAGTATACATCTCTTGGATAGTTTCTCCTTCCTTCATAGTGAAATTCTCATATTGAGAATACAACAGTGTTCCTTTGGACCTCTTCACTTGAGGTGTTCCTTCATGAGCCACTTGCAAAGTGTCCCAGATTTCCTTAGCAGTGGTGCAGCTTTGGATCCTGCTGTACTCATCTGGACCTAGTCCACACACAAGCCATTTCTTGGCCTTAGCATTTTTCTCCCATTTCTTCAGGTCTTCAGCAGTGCAGTCAGCTCTTGTCTTTGGCACATCAACTACTTTAGCATTCTTCTTTGTGGTTGCTAGAGGACCATCAGTGACTATGTCCCAGAGTTCATAGTCTTCCCTTATGATGTGATCCCTCATCCTGTTCTTCCACCAAGAATAATACTGACCATTGAAGAGTGGAGGCCTAGCAGTGGATTGCCCTTCCCAGTTCCCAAGTGGTGCACTCATGTTGATCTTTTCCTAAGGTGTTAGCCTCTTCAAGGATAACCTGCTCTGATACCCATTGATGTTTTAAACGTCAATACCACACAAGGGGGGGGGGGTGATTTGTGTGGTGCCCAATTTTTTGCTTAACTGAACTATAGAAGGACCTGGTTCTTCTATGTGTTCCAACTACTACTGTTTGCGGAATAAGAATTAAAGAAAATAAAGAACACAAAGATTTTTACGTGGAAAACACCTGGCTCAAAAGGTGAAAAAACCACGACCTACTACTCAGTAGGATTTTTCCAAACTTCCACTAAAATCACTGAGCCAAAACAGCATTTACAAAACTCTTTGTAAACCTAAGGATTACCTCTAATCCCGTTGTAGCAACCAGCCTCTAAATGTTGCGACAACTTCAAGTTAACTCTAACTTGAATACTCAAAGTACCTATTACAATTGCTTCTAGATAAAGCTGAAAGGTACAATATGAAAACACTTGCTACAATTGAACTAGAAATAAAGAAAGATACATAAAACTCTTTATGGAGTTGGTTCTTCAATCTGGTTCATGTAGCTTCAGGTTTGCACACTTGAATCACACACCAACTGCTTGTAAAAAGCCTTGCTATTTTGCTCTCAGTTCATGTTTAACTTCTGCGTTTTTGTGCGACACTGTAATGTGAGAACATCCTGCAATTTATAGAGTTAGTAGATGAAGAAATAACTAGAGTTCTGATGCAACTCTTCCTTGGCGGAAGAGTTCTAGTTGATTTCAACTTCTAACTCCTTCCCTATCTTGGATAGTGTTCTCTTTGATTAAGGACTCCTTTTCCTTATCAATTATGCAACCTTTTCGATCAGGAGATATTATATACACCAAGTTAAGCTTATCTCCTTCACGTGCATCCCACATGCTCGAATCTGCCCGTTTTTATGGACCTGAGGGATGGACCTGGTTCATGCTGAGCTTCCTTTGTCAATCTTCAAAACTAACCTTCTCTTGGGCCAACAGGAGGGCACATCCATTTCCGATACAACGGTACCGGCGACTTTATCAGAGGTAGAAGGTGCACTAGCCATGTTTTCGTTGGTTATGTAGATGATAAGTGTTAAGGTAGAGGGAGTAACACTGGCAAGAAACTTCAAAACGAGAGAGGTGGAGACGTAAGAATCTAAAGAAGGAGAAAAGAGAAGCTTGAAAGTTTTTCGAAAAATATATAGGAAACACAGTAACCCCAAATGAGGAGTTCTCTTCTCTATTTATAAGAATACAAACATCTTGAGCAGGAAAACCAAACGCCGCCACGTTACATCCAAAATAGAGGAGGCACAGGAAACGAAGTAATGTATAGGAAACGTGCGTCATAATGACGTATGACAGATTAACATCATTTCAAACTGACATAACGATCAAGTACGGCTCTCGAAACATCGCATCGTTACTCGCTATGAAGGGTCACTCTTCGGCCAATGTGCTCAGATTTCTCAAAAGGTGCAACTGGCGAAGTCCGCCTACCGAGCTCGCCCAAAGGCGACCCCAATGGGCGGAGGGACTAACTGTATAGGTCAAAATCTGATCAAAAGAATTCTACTTAAGGAAGAACGACCAAGAATCAACCAAGCCAAAGTCACGTATAGGAAGCAATGTACCTGCGAATGATTTAGCTACAGTCGAAGTCGAGTACTCAATTTGGCCCGAACGGCTAGTTCAACACTTAGACATTTCAGAGGAATATTCTACGGGATATTCCAAGAATTTAGGCACTCCGGTTAAGGACCGCTGGGTTAGGAAAGTGTTTTGTATAAGTATCATGGGATAGAGTAACAAAAAGGGGGCTGATAGGAACACACACACAAAAACATATACATCTCTCCAAAAGTGAAGATAGGAGTTTAGAATCTCAGTATTCATCTGTAATTCAACATTATCAAATGTACGGAAGTCGGTCTTGCTCAAGAATGGTGACTCTTTTCATTTGTGTATTCTTCATTATCATTTGATATTACCGGAATAATCATCTATTTCTTACATTTGATATTCAGTCGCAACTGTAATCAAGTTTTACGTTCAGTTATGCTTGTTTATTCCTATCTTCTATCTCAGATCTAGAATAAATTATCTCTGGCTAGGATTTGCCCCAAATCTTCTTATTTAATTTAGTTTAACTAAAAAGGCTTTAAACTTTTTGGTCAAACATACGTAAGATAAACTTTTGTTTGGTGAAATAACGTTGGCCTTAGACATAATGGGACTCTCAGTTACTGTGCGAGATGGTATACTAATATGTTCCCCAGCGGTTGTTAGAACGATGGAAACCTGGCCGGTCTTGATTCAAAAAGATAAAAAAACGTATGATTCATTCATATTTTAATTGCATAAATTTTGTGAAAATTTATGCTCTATTTGATGCAGAATAAAATGTGAAATAAACATTTTATCCATCACTATTTGCCCACTAACAATCCTCAGATTATTTTTTACTGCTTAAGCAATTCTTTTATGATAATTTTTGTATTATAATTCTTGTATAACTATCTGTGACCTTCAAATTATATTACTAATAAATAGTATCTATTTATTAATTGGTAATTAGAATTCAAATTCTTAATTTAATTAAAATTATTAAACTAACCGTTAAAGAGAAACACACTTCCTTGCGTTTTCAAATTTCAACTCGAGACACATTAAACCCGTTTGTGGAGTTTAGTCACCGCCCCTCACAATACGGAGATGACATCGCTGAGTTATTCTTGAGCATTCATCGTTCTGAATCGTTTTATCTTTGACAGATACTATGTGGCTTTTTTAATTAGATTTGTTTCTATATGTTGAGGTACGCTGATCAGCAGCTTGAATTAGATAGTCTTTTTTTTCAATCATATATTCTACATTTGTATGTTTGAACTAGATACGTGATCATAGATCAATAGTTTCTGTACCCCAAAATACAAATTGTTGAGTTAGCTATCATCATTCCATTCCTCTGTCGTATATGTTGCGACACCTATCAAATTTTGCTGATCACCAACTAATTAGTTGCTTTCTGAAAAAGAAGGGAAAAAAAGAGAAAGAAAAACTTGCCCTTTCGCCCTATGTGATAAAAGGGATTCCAGCTTTATGAAGGTTTCGAAAAGAACAAAAGGAAAAAAGTTGAAATTTGAAGCTAAATGAATCAAAGGGAGTACATGATGACAAAGTCAGTGATGCAGAAATATTTCAATGTAGTTGCTACAGCTAGAAAGGGAAGCTTCGCTTATCTAGGAGGTACAAGCGAGAAAAGGATTGTGTTCCATACACCAAAAATGTACTGGTCAAGATCAATGAGTTGAACTTTATTGTATGCATACAAAATTCTAAATAATGTTGAGATTTTTATCATACATCAAACTGATGTTCAATGGTCTGTTAGTTGGGAGGAGGAATTAAGAAAAAACTGAAGGTGGATTTTTCAAATTTCCGTATCTGCCCCTATAACACGACTGCATAATTCAGTATTGTTAACTCAGCACATAGAGATCATTTATCGAATGAAGACCTGGTCACACCGAGACTTTTTCCCCAAGTATGTAACCTTTAAGTTCTTGGTCCCCTAACAAATACACTGGTTGTGTTCTTCTGTCAGGGCCATAAAATTCTAAAATCTCAAGCATTGAAATGCAAACTTTACTCGCCTTATCAACAAAACAAAAAAGAAGGCGATGAACGCAAATTGTATACTACTCTAATAGATTTGCAACATTACATGAAAGCCACGCATGAGTAGTGATAATATGTTTCATTAAGCAAACCACGTTCAACTGCCAAGAGGGTTTGGGAGAAGTCTGTGACGTGTAATTTACAGGCTTAATCCTAATAGAGTGATCCAAATAGACTCTCTTCCATGAAAGGTATCATCATGTCCTAAAGCAAGTAAATTCTCTCCAGCAGCAGAGAGCATGTATCTCTTTCACAACGTATCTTAAATTGAAGAAATACAATCCAAAAGAGCACCAACGTGATATCAACCCTGAACATAAATGTTACACACAGATTAATTCCATAGAAAAGATCATAACATTTCCAGAATCATTCAACAGAACAGATCACCATAAAGAAGGTCATTCTCTAGTTCCTCATTCTTAAAACAAAATCAAGTAAAATAATGGTTCCTAAAATGGCGTACGCTCAACTGAGACCCCTCATACATTCATCTATCAGAATGAAGAAAAAATTTATATTGCTTTCCTACACAAAGTCTTAATTTTTAATGCCTTTGAGTTCCACAAAATGCATCAGTGCACTTAAAAGGACTGCAAAAAGAGTTATATCTGGATGAATGCATAAGAGATAGTAGCAAAGTGAAGACACAATCTCTTCTGAGAAAATTGAAAATACGAACAAGCTGTTACAATCTTAAGTTGCTACTGAAGCAAGACGGAAAGTAAAACTCACCAAGTATCCTCCCTAAGTGATTTGCAAATCCACCAGGTATTGTGGAATGAACATTTTTTTAAGCTTACCGGAATTTGCTGGCATACAAAAGATTCTGTTTCCATTAACTATCAATTCTTCCTTTCCCTTCAGATACCTATCTAAAGCTAAAACTAAGAGCTATTCTCCCACTTAGCCATTTTGTAGGTCATAGTAAGTAAAACCAAAAAAACTATGGACAACTGGCACCAGATTGACTAGGTTTTAATGAATTGATGAGGCAGTCACCTTTAAAAAAACTCTGAAAAGCTAAACTAATAAGACAAAACAAGAAGACTATATAACAGTGTTCTGCCACTGTTTTATTCATATTCTATTCCCCCATCATCCTTTGTCATTGCTCTGGCTACAATGATTAAAACATATGAACTAATCTCCATCTTTTGTGCTTATTCTATCTGGCTATTTAACCTAAAAAAATTATATGAATAGCAGTTATACTTCTTCGTAAAGTCAGCTTCATCGGACAGCATTTACAGATGTAACTACAGGCAGACTTTGTATATCAGAAGATAAAAGCACCAAGTTACTAAACAGTGCAACAACCATACTATTGATGGATTGGTTCAAAGATACAACACTCCATACTTTGAAATCAAAAGCGTTTATCGAGATTCTTTCTGAAATGGTAAAAACAAAAGGCAGTTATTTGCCAGTTAGAACTTTTTTTGGCTCTTGATTCCCACCTCTGTTCAGCACAGATTTGTGCGATAACAACTGAAGCAATTAAATTATATCATATCAACTTCACAATATTCAACCTCAGAGAACCATGTATATCGAAACTGGGGGCGAAAGACAGATAGTAAAACTAATTACCTAATCAACGTGCTGCATTCAGTCCCAGTAGCATGTTCTGTTTGGGCAAGTAAGCCACATTGGGAGTCTTAGCTAAGGTCGAAGCAACCTCCCTCGAAGCCTCAATCCTCCTCAGCTCAATCAAACCCATTCCAGCAGCTGCAGTTGCATCAGAAATCAACTTAGCAGACTCACTCTCTCCTTCAGCCCTAATAATAGCCGCCCTCCGTTCTTGTTCAGCCTTCATCACGACAAACTTGGACCGCTCTGCCTCCTGCTGGGCAACCTGCTTCTGCTCCACAGCTTTAGAAAATTCAGCACCATATGATAAATGGGTTATCGCCACATCATCAAGCTCAATGTTGAAATCCTTTGCACGACGAATCAAACTCTCACGAACCAATGCAGACACCTGTGGACGCTCTGTGAGAAGCTGATCCGCATTGAATTGTGCGACGACAGCTTTGAGAACTTCATTGCCGATGGAAGGAAGGACCTTCTCATCATACTGTAATAATAAAATGAAAATAAAAGATCTTATATACTATACACAAAATCCATATATACAATTATATACTAGTAACTATAGAAAAAAGTCAAACATACAAATATGGAAAATATAAATCTTATATATTCCATACAAGCTCTTATAAACACTTACATATGAAATAAAATTAAATTTTTAAGACAAAACCTTTATATACAATAATATACAAAATCCTTTATATACAATTACCTCATCAAAATATCCTTATATACATTATACTTGCATACATGAGTTCAAGTTCTACCACAATAACAATATCAAAGATATTACAATGTCATATCACTTAATAGGCAGTTATAGGCAAATCTCTTGAAAATCATTCATTGGTAGTCCGACAAAATTTAGAACTAATCTGCTATCACATGTTAAAAATTCACTTATAGTGTCAAAAAATCTCTATACGTGTAAAAAACACGCAGCCAGATCACTTAATAGATAATTTCAGGCAAATATCTCGAATATCTTTAATTGATAATCTGATAGAATTGGTAACTAATCTATTATCACAGGTTAAAAATTCACAGATTAGCGTGGAAAGATCTTCACAATGTCAGTATACATAATTTGAACCCTAGTACATAGTACAATAATATGCAGAAATGTTTATATACAAAATATGTAAATACACATTCAGATCACTTAATAAGTAATTACTGAAAAATCTTTTGAAAAGCACTAATTAGTAATCTAATAATAACAGTAACTACTATACTATGACAAGTTAACAATTCACCGATAGTGTCAAACGGAAACCTTATACTGTCAGATTACGTAACATAAACCTACATGAGTCTAAGTTTAATGAACAGACAGTATAAAAATTATTACACAATCAGATTACTTAAAATGTACGTGACTAATTTTTGCTATCAAAACCTAAAAATTCACATATAGTGTCGAAAAATCTTTAGACTGTCAGTGTACATAACTTAAACCCTGCATACAATAATATGTATTAAATGCTTATATATAAAAAATATGTAAAATACACAAACCTCGAGACCTAGAGTTTTGAAAATGTCAGGAAGACGAGAAACTTGAGGGCGAGAGAGAACACGGAGGGTAAGATGGACCATCTGGAGATCTTTTGTACCGGAGAAGGAGGAGAATGTATGAGGCTTCGTGCGAATATCGAAGATGAAAGGTTTTTGAAGCCATGGGATCAAAAAATGAGTTCCTTCACCCACTGTTTCGTCGATGACTCCTCGAAATCGGTCGAAGAGTACGGCGCGTTGGCCGCCGTCAACGGTGTACAGGGAGGAGCTGAGAGCCGTTGCGCCGACGCCGATTCCGAATGCGGCTCCTGCGACGTTTCTCAGAAGTGATAGTACTGCTTGACTGCTACCCATTTTTTACAGAGAGTTTTAGGGTTTTTGGTACGAAGAATGGAAGAAGAAGGGGGATTGCAGGGGTTTTTGGTAGAAAATAGAGTGTTGTACAAGAAAAACCATAAAACTCGAAACGGGTAAACGGATCAAACCGGATCGGATGGGTAGGAGGCCCAACACAAATTACATGGGGCTCCATTTACTTGCAACTTATGGTTGACCATCTATAAGATCCAACGACTTTAATTGACGATAAGAAAATATTTGTGTAGCACTTTTATTGATTTAATTTATAGCCCGTTTTGCCAAGCTGCAAAAATCAGCTTATTTTGAGAAGTGCTTTTTTTCAAAAGTGCTTTTCTCAAAAGTACTTTTGGTGAGAAGCAGTTTGTGTTTGGCTAATTAGTTTGAAAAGCACTTCTGAGCAGCAATTAGTGTTTGGCCAAGCTTTAAAAAACTGCTTCTAAGTGTATTTTTCTCAAAAGTGCTTCTCAAAAAAGTGCTTTTGGAGAGAAGCTACTTTTTTCTGCTTCTCCAAAACTGCTTCTGCTTCTCCTCAAAAGCACTTTTTTTCCTTCCAAAAGCTTGGCCAAACACCTCAATTTTTGGCCAAAAGTGCTTTTGGCAAAAAAAAAAACACTTTTGGCCAAAAAAAAGCTTGGCCAAACAGCCTATTAATCTTAAAGAAGGGTAAGATCATCTTTCAAATATGCACAAGTGACATTACAAAGAGTTTACATAGAATAATTTTTAGCTCTCAGTCAAATAGAATAACTTCATCTCTTTACTTAAAGATACTATTGCACAATAAAGAAATTTAAGGGGTATACAGATTAGAGTGTAAATAAAGAGTTACATTACTAAAATGGAGTATGAAAATATAACCCATTAAACTATGCTTATAATATAAAAATTCAACGTATTTAAATTCTGAATGAATATAAATGAATTCCTTGGAATTTAGAGGTGCGTGCACAAATGACATCAAGGTAATAATATGACTTAAGGGGTCGTTTGATACAATGGTGGGATATCCCATAGGATGGAATATCTCATGGGGTTAGTTATCCCGCCTTCTATATGGGATAACTAATCTCATCATTTTAGTGTAAAAGTTATTTCGAAATTAGCTAATACCTCAAGCTAAACATGGAATAAAATTAATCCCGAGATTATTCTTATCCCGTGTACCAAATAATGCCTAAGAGTGTTGGTATTTTTCTCATGTTTGTTAGTTATATATTTCAATAAAAAAATGTAGAGAACTTGTTGTGCGAGAAGAATTAACTTCTTGTTATAAATAGAATTGTATTTATGGTGAATGTCTATATTTAGAGAGATTTTAAGGTTCATTGCTTGGTGGCTAAGTCACCCTCTCCCTATAAATAGAGGGTTCTATTCCATTGTAATTCATCCAATATCAATAAGAATTCTCTTTCTCTACCTTTCTCTGCAATACTCTTTTTCTTCATTTATTGTTTTATAACATGTTATCAGCACGAGACTCTAACCAATTGAGTAAAGCTTTGGGATTGAGCATAATGATTGTCAATTGTTCCATGAACTTCCTTTATGATTAAATTATGGATTTAAGGTAAGTGTTTTACCGTATTTTTCTCTTTTATTCTATAATTTGATTTTAAATACAAGCAAAGAAAATAAATTTTGATTATAACTCTAATGGAGTTAGTAAGAAATTATAACCACTCGAAGTGGTAAAATTTTTATGTCTTGCCATGATCAAAGTCATGTATGATCGTGAGCACAAGAAGTGAAAACCCGTCCCATTGAATTTGCTTCATTCTCATTCCCTTAAGAGAATATGATAGCAGTGTATGATAAGTCTGAAAGAAGAAAAAATTATTACCGTGAAGGTATCAATGAATTTGGACGTGGCAATAGACGAAATTATCTGTCATCATTGTGGTAATGAGAATAATAAGAATTCTCAAAATAGTCTTTCACTCTGTGAAAGTAATGTTTGTCATCGATTTGACATAAGATTTCGTAAAGCACATACAGATGACTATGGTCAATTCATGTTGTGAATGTGACAACATCTGATTTATGAATACATATGCATTCTTGTAAGAATATGAACGTGCCAGTGGTAGTGAATATACCACACTCACCTCTAGAAAGAGGTTTGAGATGATATAAGAACTTATTGAGTTTCTAAATTATTCGCGAAAGCGGTTGGTTATATTGAGACTATAAATAAAGGAAAGATTTAATATCTTCTATTACTACAACTTGTAGCGGGGTAATATGTATGTGAAAAGTTACCCGCTTTATTCTCCAGTTTGTACTACACAAATAAAAGGATACCACAATAAAGTGGATGTTTATTGATATAAAAATCCATATCATAATAAACTTGGAGTTTATTGATAATTGCACACGTCATGGTGTAAACCTGAACTTTATCAATATTGATAATTTATTCAGTTGGCATAATTGGTTTAGCCATATCAATTTAAGTATGATGTGCAAAAATAATAGAGAATTCACATGGGTAAATATTAAAGAACTAGAAAGTTCTTTACGAATTCTCTTATATTGCTTGTTCTCATTAATTAATATACCAACTAAAATTGGGATTGAATCCCATGAATGCTGAAAATATCAAAGGTGAATGTGGGCCCATTCACCTGCCATGTATACCACATAACATGCATCTATGAGATGGTTACATGTGCGATTATTAAGAACCCGCAACATGGTATTTTGCGAGGTAACTTGCTCAATAATTTAATTTCGAGCATAATTTCCAGATTTTCTATTCAAGAAGTTCATCTTGATAAGTTGGTTTACATCACAGTTGGTTTAGCAAAATAATTTATTGAGTGCCTCCACTTAATAGCTAAACAATTGCTTATGAGAACAAAATTATCTATATCACATTGATATAGGTTATATACGGAAGTATATTATTTTCTCCCTCACAAGTGGTTCAGGGTCAGGAATCAAATAATTTTATCTTATTATTATTGACGTGCGGTGTATATTTTGATTAACACCATAACGCACAAAGATGGGTTCTCAAAGTTGAGGAAACAAGTTAGTTTTTCTAACATGAGGGGGAGACATGATAAACAGTTGAGAAAAAGTTATGTGGAATGAATTGTCATTTGTACATCTAGATCCTCGAATAAGACAATATGAACTTGAGGTTCATAAAAAAGATAATTCATTTGCAATATATTGCAAAGCATGCCAGACGCATTTGCTGACCTAAAGAAAGTAACTAATTCTCGTTGCAAATGCTCCTATTAAGTTCTAGAAGGACAAAGTCTATGGCACGTTTAAAGCATATAGACAAATCGGTTTCAAATAAATTTCTTAATAAAGAAGATGAGCAAATGATCAAAATGATCATAATAAATGAGGCAAGTGATCTAGAAGATCACATGACATAATACTTCATAAAATCTAAGGAGAGGTTTAGGTACCTGAAATGAATGAAGAGATCTCTGTGTTATGTCTTTATTAAAAATGTTGAAACCGATATAAAATGTTCGTCGACGACATCTATGATACCGCTAAATATATATGAGGATCTTAAGTCTGGAGAAACAATTTCGAATAGAATTAGTTTCATATGAAAGACATGTAGTTTTGAACATGTAGTTTAATCACTTGAAAGTATAAAGTCAATGGTATGTGCAATCAGTTTTCGATATCTTATATGTCTAGCATGACATGAAAACTTGATATGCATCGAAGTCTATTGTATGGCTTATATGACTTAACTTATATAACAATCCATGAAGGATTTAAGTTGCTTGAAGCATATACAATTCTTGATCTTGAAGTACCACTTCCTTAGTGCAATTTGTGCACTAATGTATCTTGCTATAACTATAGGCATGATAATATGATAGCAAGAGTTTGACCTCTATGTGAAGATATTAAACTAACGATTCCAACAAGATCATATGAAGACAATACATCTATTAGGGATGATGATTTCAAGGTGAAACAAATTCGTTCAAGTTAATATGGCTGATTTGTTTATCAAATCTCTACCAAAGATCTTTTGAAGATGGTGCACAAGACTGGAATGCAAATGCTTAAGGATGTGAATTGATGCTCTCATCAGGGGGAGCTAATACGCGTTGTACTCTTTTTTCCTTACAAGGTTTTGTCCCACTGGGTTTTCCTTGCAAAGTTTTTAACGAGGCAACCAAAAGACGTATTGTTAGATATGTGTACTGATAGATCTTAAATACTCTTGCCTTATGTTTTGATGATCTAACAAACTTATTGATAAGAACCAGATAAGGAACCTGACCTACTTGGAGCGCTACAAACTTGAACTGATCCCAGTTAAGGATAAACTGCTACAGATTCAGAAGCTAGGAACCAATCAAGAATCTGGTGCTCATATAATTCCTATGTAGCAGTACAGAGTCATTTGGACACAGCTGGAACTGAAGTGACTGCCGGTACTGTTTCTGCCGCACTGCACCACAATGACAGCCCACTCATTCTCTAACCAAACAAAGTACTCACATCATTTCAAGTGATGTGATCAAGTTGTACCAAAGGGGCTTTTATACAAAACATCACAAATAGGTTTCAGTTCCATTCATTCAAGCATCAAGCAAAAACAGAAAAGATCATTCTCTCAAGCTTGAAGAACAAGGTTGAACGCCACTACGGACCAGTTCCTAAACGATTGATTATTGCTGTCCTAATTGAGTTGTAACCTTGTTATTGCACTTTACTATATCTCCTAAATCTCTTGCTTAGAAGTTTTACTGATTAGGAATCCTCTTGTAAATCCTCAGACTCGTTGAGTTTAGGTTGTGGCTAGATTTAGTCATAAAGAAAAGTCTTTGTAATCGTAGGGTTATAAAGTGGCTTATGGTGACAGCACCACAAGTTAGAAAAAGCCTTTGTAACTAGGATAGTCACAAAGTGGCTTGTGGTAAAGGTACCACAAGTTAGTCTGAAGTCTTTGCAATCGGGAGTATTGTAAAGTGGCTTGTAATAAGTAAGATTACAAGTTAGTGAAGTTAAAAGCCTACAAGGTAGGTCGTGGTTTTTTGATCCCCTTGTGCGGGATTTTTCCACGTAAAAAATCCTCTGCC